CAGTACGTAACATTTTTGTTAAATGACAGAATACATGTACATGTACATGTACGTATATGGTTTTCACGTGAAAATCATGATTTTCCAATTGCCTCGGAAAGTAACGCCCGATTTGGATGTGCAACATAAACGTAGCGTTTTCCCCTTTTTGTTATAATTGACTGCAAATTTCGACTTTTAAACATACACTGGACGAAATTTGTTGGCTATAAATATACCACGCACCGCCTCCAGTTGACCGACTTTGACGAGGGTAAAATGGTAAATTTTATTGGGATTTTGAGTGCTGTGCAAGTTGCAAGAAAAATGAGCCGTAACCCGATGACGGGATAACGGTCTCTTGCCGAATACAAGAGAAATAGGAAAAAAGAAAATTTACCAATATCACAAGCTCTTAATAAGCAAGAAAAAATTGCACATTTCCAAGAAGCCAAAAAGACAACCTAAGCCATTTCGTGACATTATCAACAAAAAATCTTTGTAAAAATTTACCCGAAGATTCTTTAAGGTATTTCATCCTTTTTTATTTGAAAAAATATGACTTTTCAGCTTAACCCTAACCCTAATTCTCAAAAGATCACGAAATAGGTTCAAGAGAAGAATATTAATGATTATGAACCAATTAGCATATTCTCACAGACCTGGCTTCATAGAAAATATCTAGAAACCATTGTAGTACAATATTCTAAAGTGTAAAAGTTTTTCAAAAACTGGGAACAAATTCAAGACTGCTCTGAAGGAAGTGTAGTCAAAATTTAATGTGTTAGTGTGGGGGAAGGCTGTGAGCTCGATGCTGTAAGGAATCGAGGTAATATTGAAGCCATATAGAGGGTGAGTAATGTATTATTAGTTAATGTAAAAAAATTTATGTATATAAAGCAGAAAATGAAATAAAACGAATATATATCTAAAATTTTATTTTTTAAATAATCGAGCGTTACTTTCCGAGGCGACTGTACATACGTGCGTACATTTTTGGAAGTGAAAATCCGGAAACGTCAATTGAATGAGACTTTATTCTAAAACATTTCTATTTTTCCTGCGAAAAATAATTTGAAAATGAATAAAATTATTGCAAACTTATCTTTCTCTAGTCTGATTATAAAACCAAACAATCATCAAAAAACGAGGACTAACCGAACCAGCTATTGAAGAAATATTTAGTTATTTTGATAAAGGATTCATTCCTCGCGGGATTTAAAATTCTTGCAAACCATAAAGTCGAATATTCAATATAATGTCTTGTATGGGTTTTTATATCAATTTGGGATAAAAATTGAACAGAATTTTGAAATTGCTTTTAAATTTTATAAAAAGCCAGCAAAGCAAAATAATTCGATTTCTCAGTATTTACGCGGATTTTCCTACTATAATGGAGTTGGCACTCTTAATTAAAGTAAGGCTTTTAAGTGGTTTTTAAAATCGGCAGAAGGGGGAGATGCTCGAGGACAGTATAATCTTGGTCTCTGTTATCAAAATGGTATTGGGACGCAAAAAGGCTTTTGAGTGTTATCTGAAATCGGTGGGGGAGGATGCTAGAGGACAATGCAATCTTGGCTTTTGTTATTAAAATGGTATTGGAACGCAAAAAAATGAGAAGAAAGCTTTGAGTGGCATTTGAAATCAACAGAGAGTGGAGATGCAAGCGGACAATGTGGTGTTGGTATGTTTATCGAAACGGAATAGGAACACGAAGAGACGAGAAAAGAGCATTCGAGTAGTATTTGAAATCAGCAGGATGGAGATGCTACTGGACAAGCTAATCTTGGCTGGTGTTATGATAATGGAATCGATCACAAAAAGAGGAGAAAAAAGCATTTGAGTGGTATTTAAAATCCGCTAAATCTGGGTTTGATCTCGCTCAATTCAGATTGGCTGAGCAGTACCAATACGGATTTGGAGTTTCAAAAGATCTTTTTATGGCGTTGAAATGGTACGAAAAAACGGTTATAATCTAGTAAGAGAGCATGTTAAAACAACATATTTATTTTATGATAATTTAGTACATTTGATCTTTTATTTTTTAAAAAAAATTACGAGATATTACAATAGCCGTCATAAGTATCCGACCGCCCCTAACTTTCTATGGATCATACGTAACATCCTAAAAATTTCTGAAAAATATTTATTAAAATTAAAATTTTATTAATAAAATTAACTTTTCTATACAACTTTACTTGGAGATACAAACTTTATTTACTAATTAAATTCTTAAAAATCAAGCTTGGCTTGGCTTGAATTTCATCTGCAAGCCAAGCCGGCTTGCAAGTCAGCTTGGCTCGCAAGGAGCTTTAGTCAAGACGAATCAAAATAGTTTTGAATCAGATCATTGGATATCAAGATATCACGTCCTAATTGGCTGGTTAATGTCAAAAAAAATGAATCTGCCACTTTAAGATGCAATATTTTAACGTCCAGTGATCCAATCTGAACAAAATTACTATCATTTGATTCACCTCAACTAGACGAATTGAATGGTAGTATTTTTTTTGCTCAAATCAGATTACTGGATGTCAAGAGTAAGATTATTAGATATTGAGATGTGTGTTATGAAATACGTAACTGATTATACATGTGAAAGTTTATGTACATACATTTAATACCTGATATAGAAGCTTTATCTATTTATAAAAATTATTAATGACAAATATTAGCTAATATCTTGTTATAAAGACCCCTCCCCCTCCTGAGATTTCATTTAATACATGCATGTGAGATTATATTGATGCCTGAGATTTGACCATCCCCTCCCCCCAGAATATTAGCTAATATTTGTCACTCCCCTAATGTTATTTGTTCTCGGAAAATTTTGGTGCATTACACATGATCTACGGAAAGTTATGGGGTCACTTCTGACGGGCACTGTAAAATTAGTTTGTTAAATATTTAATCAAATTTCAATTCTTTATATTTCTTTGTTTGCTTTCCCTCCACTTGTTTAAATAAAAAATTATGAAACAGCAGTATGTTTTTTATGGAAATATATTCAGCTGTCATTATATTAACTTGATTAAATATTTTCTTGATATAATAAATCTAATATGTTGTCCTGCTGTCACATTTTTCATAAGCAGATTTGTAGTAATATTGACATTCTGATACCTGAAATATGGATAAGCTTTCAAAAAATTTTTGAAGATGATTTAGAAATATATCAATCTTATAGTTTAGTGAAGATACTCCAATATCAATTAAAAAATGATGTAATTGCAGAAAAAAATTAATTATCAATAAATAAATTATTCAAGAGAGCAAATAATCAATATTATAATTTATTAGATCAAGATAATATAAAGAAAATGAGAGATTTATTGAATAAGAAGTGTCTTTAATTTTTTTATTTGATTTTTTTTAATTTAATTAATATTTGAGAACTCGTGTATAAATAATAAAACTAATATAAACATTCTGTGTTTGTTATTATTTTTTATGCATTGATTATACAAATTTATTGACACATGAAAATTAATACGTACATGTGAAATATTTAATAATAGTATTATTTTTATTAAAAAATTTTATTGATAACTCTATTAGACTAAACTATCTTAAATATATTTATATTACAATATGACTTTATTATACTTAATAATTATTATATACTTTTGTCAAAGATAGTTTATTGGATGAAAAAGCATGATTTTTCTCATTTTCTGAATTCAGAAACAAGTCATATCCTTATAATATAACAATAAATCCTACAAAATCAATGTGGGTTATGAGAATAATCATTAATTATATATGATATTGTTCATTAATTATATGCTGGTCACAATCTAGTACTCTTGAAGGATACAAGATGATTGTAATGGAATATTTCGAGATTAATACACTGTACAATATGCTATCCATCATTCGAGATTCTAGAGATGACATCAAGAATATTTATAATGTAGAAAGGATATTTATAATGTAGAAAAAACTATAGCTATGGTACTCTATCCTTATCAGGAGCTCATTTTGCAGATCTTTGAAGTCCAAATATTCTGATTATCAAGCGAGACAACAAATATCATAGAATGCTCATCAATTTTTTGATGTGAAAAGTTTGTAAATACCTATCACTTGCATTATTGTGAAGATATCAGAACAAGAAAAGTGAAAGTTTAATAATAATTCCAAGAAAGTTCTCGATATTATTTTATAATAAGTAAACAACGATTGTGAACCAATCAAAATAATAAATCATGTGTTGTCAATCAGATGTGACGATTTGTGGCTAAGTCAACTAAACGGCTTGCCTTGCTTTAAGAAACTTCAAATTCAGCATAATTTTGATCATCTATGGCCTTCAGCCAATCAAACACATGTACTAGATTTCTAATGACGTAAAATTTGGAATAGGATTTGTACATGTGATTTAGCTATGATTTTGATTGGTCAGAAGATTTCGTCACAGGTTTCGTCATTCGTCATGAGTTTCTTCGACGAATGACATGATGAAATCTTTCGTCATTATGAAAATAGTGTTTTGAACCAGATGGAAAATTCTGATATTAAAAAATTCTATTACAATGGGAAATAAGTAATTTGAACCAGACGGAACTGTTTGGTATTAAAATACTATAACATGTATCAAAAACAGAAAATTTTGATTTTAGAGTTCAACCGAAACCTTAAATAATGATTTTGTAGATTGCTTATCGAAGATGACGATTGAAAGATCTTTATCATACATTTTTGCATTGCAAAATAAATAAGATAAATGCAATTTATGCGAGAACCTTTTCTTTTAATTGAATCATATAATAAGATCTTATATCTGCTTATAATTAAATTTGACTATGAAGTTATTTAAGTAGAAGTACATATTGAATAAAACGGACGAATATAAGAACAGAACAGAACAGAACATTATCGTTAATAAAATTTGTTGCGAAATATATATGTTTCGTGTTATTATAGTATTTGAAAATTTAAATATTAATAGATAATACTTAGCATATTGCTTATATCAATATAAATATAATTTGTAAAAAAATTTGTCAAATTACAAATTATCAAAAATTGACATTCGAGAAATTTCCAACCATATATGTAGAATCATAAGTAAAATATTCAGAGATAGATATTTGAGCATGTGGTGAGGGTGAAGAAATCAATGATGCTGTTGGAACACTAGCTGTATTTGTGATGTCGATAGGTGCGCTTATCAGAGTTGAATTATAAAAGTTTGTGTTGAGTAAATAATCAATCAAATTATTGTCGTTGCCATCAAATAAAAATTGATGATTACTCGACGCGCTAAAATTGTCGATTGACGTAGGTATGCTGCATACAATATTGTGAGGATTATACTGAGTTGTCGACGATGTGAAACTGGAAAAATTGTTACTCATATTATTTGTTAAGAAGGGCGACGGGTTAATTTTTGCTTCCTTTTCAACTAAATTATCATTTCTTGAGCCAAACTTGGCAGACGAAGTAAATGAGTATTTTTTCTGTTCTCGAAAAGTAAATTTTTTACAGCTTGGATCTTTTGTATTTTTCGGTTTATATTTGTAATTAGGATATATATGCTCATGATTCTTGCGGGCTATTTTCTCCAATATTTTGAAAAAATTCTTAACCTCTCTTGATTGCAATTTCCATTTCAAACTACATTCCTTCGCAGTATGTGAAACTTTTTGTCTGATATTAGGATTAAGTTGGCGTATATTAGCTTCGTAATCTGTTCGAAAGATAATCCAACTATTTTGTGGTCTTGGTGGTTTATCATAATTACCGCGTTTTTTCGCAGAAGGTTTAGTTAACACTTCAATTGCGAGAGTCAGATGATAGGGACATTTACTTAGAAGTTGTCTTTCAGTTACTGACAAATATTCGTAATTACTCATTTTTATTGAATGGAATGTTATCTAATTTGATTTTTTATAATTATTACGTAGTGAGTAACTTGATATATAATATGCTACGTGAATTAAATATGAGATTTAAAATGACGGAAGAGATTATGTGTGCATACAAGCACTTTTTAAGTTATCGGCTATATGATCAACGAAGTACGTAGTAGAAGAAAACTATTTTTTATTCCTCTCCTTCTCTTTATTTATATATGCGAAGACAGTCACGATTTTAATTCTGATGATTTTTTGCTGCTTGATTTCTTGAAAAGTAAAAATATAAT